CATGCCTTCCCTTCTCCAGTTCTGTTCCAAAAAGATGGGAAGCCACTAGAAAAGGTGCTCAGCAAATTTCCATATGTCCTCAAGGCAAATGTTACACATTTTTGTAACTTCAAGATGCATCAATAATAAATGACTCTTGGTAGCATAAAGGATGATTTGCATACTTACTTTCCTTAGTGATGTTGTATAACACACACAGATGGAGGCCCTATGAGTCAGTCAAAACAAAATAATCTCAAAGGGATGCATTAATTTCCTTCCATTTAAAGGCAAGGCAACATCTGCATACTCCATTCAACTGTTCTGAGAGCAAGCTGAGACCTCATGGCTTACCTGTGCCAGATATTTTCATTGAGCTAGAAGAGGGAAGACACTGGGCAATGGATTATATGAAAATCCATTCAACTTTGAAGAGTAATGCTGGATTCTGAGCTATGCCATTCTCTGGGGAGAACCCAACTTGCTTCTACAGCTGCACCTGCTGCAGTTGTTCTCATATAGCCTCTGTTCCAGCAATCCATGAACATTTTTGTGTTCTGTGAATGTATTATTTTAATAAAGACTAACATTATGATTGCTGCTTGTGTATTTGACACTATTATAAAACCTGACCTACACTATTTCACTTAATGTTCAGAATACTTTAATAATTGATAAGTTGGGGTTTATTACCTTTATTTTGATAAGCAAGGCACAACAACTTCAGAATAAAGTGATCTACTCAAGAAAATGAATACAAAGTAAGGGTTATTTGTGTTTAGAACCCATTTTGTGATGTCTCTCATGAGCAACTTTTCCATCTTTATGCATTCTCACAGGCAATTTTCTCTACTTAGGAAATGCTTCCATCTCATGTCTACTTAGAAACCTCCTAGTCACCCTACAAGACCCAATCTCATTATTCTACCTCTATGTCTCCAAGGTAGAAATTGTTTTCTGGAGGCATTGAAATTTGGCTATTCCCTACTTTGTTAGCTTCTTGACTATGGCTCTTGCCATAGTCATAGAAATGAAAACAGTTGCTCAGAAAATGACTAATAAATAAAAGGAGGAATAAACAAATGATAGACTGATACTTAATGTTCTGCTAAACCCATAAAGGCAAATGCAGATCTGGACCTTGTTTATAAAAAGAAGTGAACTGAAGGAAGAAATTAATCCCTTCATTAAGAACTGCTTTGTTTCCTCAGCATTCACTTCAGTACCTTTTTGTCCTGTTAGCTAAGCAGCAATAGGGAAGGTTAGTAAGCTGCATGTAGGATGGTAAAAATATCTTAAATCATTTGCTTTGATAATGGAGAGATGGACTCTGGTCTTTCTGGAAGAACAAGGGATGAGTTTGTGTGGGGAGCGGGATTAAAACAGTGAGAGTGAAGCTGAGCACTGGTGGCTCATGCCTGTAATCCTAGCTACTCAGAAAGATGAGATCTGAGGATCACAGTTCAAAGCCAGCCCATGCAGGAAAGTCCATGAGACTCTTAACTCCAATGAATTACAGAAAAAGCTGGAAGTGGTGCTGTGGTTAGAAGTAAAAAGTTTGATCCTCAAACTGTTTGAGGATCTAGTCAGCTGCATTACTCCCACTGGTAAGAAAGCTGAGAAGATAAACAGATTGTAGTTCAGATGAACTTTTGGATGCTAGTTGTCTAGAAGTCTTAAAGAGGAGCTCAGAAATACTTTAAGCATTATCCTGTAGCATTCCCACAACTGACCCTGGAATCAAGTTTACCTCCTTCTTGGTATAGAAACCTTGGAAATGTCAAGTGATTATTCTGTTAAGACTAGCCTGTTAAATCAGGCACCAGTGTTTCACACCTTTAAGTCTAGCTACTCAAGAGCCTGAGATATGAGGAACATGCTTTGAAGTCAGCCTGGACAGTAAAGTCCATGGGATTCTTATCTCCACTTAACCACAAAAAAGACAGAAGTGGAGCTGTGGTTCAAGTGGTAGTGCACCAGTCTTGAGAAAAAATATCTAAGGGATAATGCCTAGGACCTGGGTTCAAGCCCCAGTAATGGCACACACAAAAAAGTCTGACCTCTAAAGACTGGCCCTTTTGCTCCAGCTCAGCTATGTCAAGGCCATTGTAGCTTAAAAAGCTTCCTCTTTTGAGAGGAAAACAGCCACATTCTATTATTTTGCTTTATATCTGTGGTATGCTAAGGCTGGCTGGTACTAAATTGTTAGCACTGTTTGTGTACATCTCTTTGCAACACTGTACTCAATAACGTCACTTTGCTAGCTTGAAATTGGCCATGAAGGGAATATTTACCTCCTGGATAATGACAAACACAAATCAGGACTTAAAATTCCCCCCCCCCCCCAGAAATCTGGTTATGAAACATTTACCACTACACCGTTGCTTATAGACAGAATGAAGATGGGTAGATAAAAATCAGACTTCTGCTAGACACATTGGGAAGGACTTTTTTTAGTTCAGAGAAAATACAAACATGGACAGAGCAATATGTTTCACATTGATAAAAATGCTGAAATTATTTTGTAATAATCTAAATGAAAAATTGAAAGATATAAGCAATAAAATGTTCACTGCACCATTGTCTGTAACTGAGAAAATGTAAGTCTAGTCTAAATGATCAGCAATTGGATAACAAGTAAATTATACTCCAATCTGTCAATGAATTATTATGCAGCGATTAAGTATAACTATAAATCTGTTAAAAATGTGGAAAATACTTATGTTAACTTAAGTGGAAAAGCAGGAAACACAAATTGTCTGTAGAATGTGATTACTATGTTGGGAAAGCTCTACTATAAGGCAAAAATTGGAAGGGAAAATTTCAGGGCAACATTCTTGTCTCTAGCCCAGAGTAGCTAGATGGTCTCTATATATCATTCCTCAATTGCACATAGTATGACAGCAATGGAAGCTCCAGAGAACAAAAAATAAACAGTATTTGTTGAAGGAATTATTTTAGGTTGGTGGGATAATGATAATTTTTTTTTTTTCTGTAAAAATTCTAGGAATGTTGTTGACACCGTTTTTCTTTTCTGAAAATTTGAACAATAAGTTTATTTGAAAGTGAAAAGAAAGTCATGACAGAAAGGAAAGTAAAAAGGTACTCTATAGTGGGAGAGCAGCCTCAAGGGCAGTTTTATAATCCAGCAGGACTCATCCTGTGTCTCTTCCCCTGGGATATGTGCTGATTGCATGAAAGCTTTTGCCTGCACTATCATGGCTCAACTGATTCAGTGGACGCTCAGAGCATCATGGGAAGAGGAAACATTTGTGCAATAACTCACAGCATTATGGGAAGAAAAAAGCATTTGAACCTGAGCCTGAGGAGCTATGGGAACAAGAAGTGCCAAGATAGGACACACGTTATTTGGCACTTGTTATGTCTACCACTTTTTATCTCTCCCTACCTAATTGTTCCCCTTTCTCCTTTCTTTCCTCCTTTTTGGATGTAAACCCTAACTGCTATTAGAGAATAGGGGCAATGACCTCTTTGGGGCTACTTTTGCTGAGAGAGAGCAAACAGGGCTACAACTGTTTGGGATCCTTCAGAAAGGGAATTTTGGTCCCTGTATTCTCAACCTGCTTGTTAAGTTTGTTTTTTATTTCTAGCATGGAGTCCATCACACTAAACAATGGCCATATAAAGCAGCCTTATACAAACTGCCTTTTGGAGTTTTTCAATGGTCCCCTGGGACATTGCACAAACTATATCCCTTCTGCCTAAAAGACATACTTTTGTTAATATGGAAAGTGAAAGAAAAAAAGCCAAGTTAGAGAATAGAAAGTAAAGATGTTCCAAGGGGTCCAGAGGCTGTGAGAAATAGCCATCAGGCCTATACAGTTGAAAATGACCAAGAATAAGACCAAAAAGGAAGTATCTAAACTTCTTACAGTAAAGATGACTTCCAAGGAAGCTTTTTGTCAAGCCCAGATTGAGGAGTGGGAAACAAAGCTATAAAGAGATGACTGGGTAAATATGAATGAGTGTGAAAAGGAATATAAGGTTTCTAAAATAGCCTCTAGAAACTGATGTTTGCATCTAGCTGAAATGGACTAAACTTCCAGGTTCTCTTCAGATTGGTTGGCAAGAAGATTGTAGACTGACAGAAAGAATGTAGATTTGCAGCTTGGTAACGATTAGACCTTCTATTAGACAATGTAGTATGTTAACACTCAATGTTTATGAAATCCAGGACAGCATACAGGATACTAGAGGCAAGGCAATAAACAGGGAAAGGTACACATAGGTGTGATGTGCTAAGTGTTTTCCTGGATTCTTAGGAAGATAGGAGCTCCCTTTCATTGTCTCTTTTCCTGTAGCCAATGTTTAGCTATCAGTGCCAGAACCACTTCTGCACAACTCCATGATTAAGGCTCACTCTTCCAGACCAAGTCATGAGTAAAAAGATAAAAGAATGAAAATTGCATCTTAATGGATTCTTTCTTTCAGTATTACTCCCTGCTACAATCTCTCTGCAGTAAGGAGTTTTTACATTCCTCGAGTTTAAAGTTGTAGTTTATGGGGTAAATAGGATGCAGTGAACATGGTACAGGTTGATTAGCATCAGAAGCATACTACGTATTTTCATGCTCAAGAAAATTTCTTGAAGTAAGGGCTAATGAGTGGTGAAAGTTGGGAAACAGCATAATCAACTCAGAAAATATTTACCTATTGCCTAGTAGCTGAAAGCATACAGAATGAAAATGACTTCATTATATCATTGGTTAGTTATATTTTAAAAAGGTGTCAAATTACTCTCCTCAACTTCCCATCTTAAGGAAATGGAAAGGAGAGAGCAGAGAAAGTTGGTGGAGGAGAAGATGGAGGCTAAACAAGCTCTCGCATAGAAAGCAGTTTCAGTGTTCCAGTGAACAGTCCTAGGCTAGAGAATCACACCAAGTGTGCCATCACAGTACAGAGAGTTTGGCCAAAGAGGAAAAATCCAGGCAGTGTGGTCAAGGACACATATCTGAACACTTGCTGGTAGCTGCACAGAAAGTCTTGGACAAAGGTGCCAGATGCAGCATGCAAATGAATTCTACTCACTACCAGCAAGAACTGACAAGGAGCAGAATGAAGATCCTGATGATCGCAGACCAGGGACAGCCCAAGAACCAAGAGTCTGGAGTGAGTAGAACCCTGACATCCTCACTCCTCACAAAGCCGCCATGGGAAGGCAGCTCCTCCCCCACCACCTGAGAAGATCTCCATCTTTGATACTGAAAAAGGCAAGGCCCAGCAGCTAGCTCCAACCCAGACCTTGGAAGGAAATATTTACCTGACCTGCCAGGCTCAGCTCTACCCAGGGGAAAGTCACATCACCAAGGCTCCACCCTGAGAGGAGTGACTTTCTTCACTGGGTAAACAGAGCCAGAGGCTGCCCCTCCCTACAGCAGCCTAGACAAACAATTGAAACTCAGTAAACATAAACCCTGAGAATGGACTCTGTGAGTATCTCTGGAGCTAGCCTCTCAGGGAAAAGCTCCTGATCACTGAAAGGCCTCAACCCTGCCCAGAACCTATCCTCATCACATCTCCAAACTTGAGGAAACAGCCATCTCCCTCTTTTGTGATACTCAAAGCAGACCTCCCTCCTACTGAACTAGCCTGAGAGGAGGATCACAAAGTCCTGGGTAGGGCAGACCTCTCTGCCTGCTCAAACAAACTGACTTAAGAAACCAGTCAAGCCACAGGAAAACCAAACACCACAAGCAGACCAGAGACTCCACCAAGGGACTGGTTACACACACAGGGGAGACAAAGATCTTCCTTCTCCACCAAAAAAAAAAAAAAAAAATTAAAGAACTTTTTTCTACCTGTTTTTTATTACTATTTTTAATTGGTTTCTATTTTTTTCTTTTTTCTTTCATAATTTTTATTTAAGGAGTGTATGTGTGTGTGTGCTTTTTAACAAAAATCTCTTTTGACCTTTTGGTCCTTTCCTTTTTCTTTTTTCTTTCTTTTTTGCATGACTGAATTGTTGTTCTGCTCATCCCCATATATATATATATACCCGTCATGGATTATTAGACCTTATCCCTCATTGTGTACATACTTAATCCAGAAACTTATTAACCAATTCAAAAGCTCTTAGGCTTAACTTTTTTAATAGTAGTATTATTTTTTATACCTATATAACTTTCAAGTATTCCAATTCTAAGGATTTTTATTTTTAATTTTTAAATTTTTCCTTTTTATCTTTCCCCTCCTCTCATCCTATCATTTTCTTCTCTCATTATCATTTCTTTATAATTTTAAGTGTTTCATATTTTAAATTTAAATTTTTTCCATTTTTTTCTTGTTTTTTTTTAATCTCTCTCCTATAATTCTGTCCTATCCACTTCCCTCTCTGAGATTAGTACTTGATTAAATTCACTCTCTTTTTACCTCTCCACATCCCTCTAATCATATTTTTCCCCACAATTCTCCTTAAATCTAATAATTTCTGGTTTGCTGAATCCTACTTGGATGTTCTTAGCCCATTAATCCATAGTTGATTGAAGTTGAATAGATTGTATCTATTGAACTAGATTGCATCTGCAGACATTTTGACTGTGCAACTTCAGTACTCTGGTTGATGCTTGCCTTAAAATAGTGTTGTAGCACAAAATTAGTGTTACTTTCATACCAAATGGACAGAACAAGTGGGAGAAACACAAGAAAAATGACAAGTTCGGGTCTCTCAGTTCCCACTCATGATAATAAGGTAACAGAAAAGTTAATGAATAATCCAGAGAAGAGTTCCCAAAAAGCTCTACAAATACTACTGGTAAACATGGTGAATGAAAAGATTTAAAAACTACAAAGGATTCAGTGCGAGCATGATAGAGAGTGAGACAAGGCAAAGCAAAGATTAATACAGGAACTTCAAGAGCATGTTGAAGATAACAAAAAATTACTGCAGAAATCTCATGAGCATGAGGAAGGTACTCAAAGATTAATACAGGAATTGCATGAGTAGGCTGACAAAAGTCAAAGAAAGAAAGAGGAATTGCATGACCAGGTTGAGAACAGTCAAAGAGAAACACAGGAATTGTGTGAACGTGAGGAAGCTAATCAAAGTGTAATACAGGAATTGCGTAAGCAGGATGAGAATAGACAAAGATCAATAGAGGCATTCATGGAATCCATAAACAGACAGTTGAAGGAATTCAGGGAGAACACAAAGGGAATGCTGAATGGAGCAAGTCAGAAGGAAAGGGAGTCCAAGGAAACCATAACAAGTCAACTAAGTGATTTGAGAGTAAATTTTGAATGCCAAATTATGGAAGTAAAGAAGTTCATACAAGATCCAAAACAAAGCTCCAACAAAGAATTTGAAGCCATCAAAGCTGACCAATTAGAAGGAAAAGAAATAAAAAACAAAGTAGAAAGTCTTGACAGTAAGGACCATGCAGAAGATCAAATCTGGGGGATTGAAGACAGTCTAGATATTATAGAGAAAGAACATACAACTGTCCAAGACAAATCCAAGAAATATAATATATTTATTCAACATTTAGAAGACACCATCAGAAGGCTTAATCTGAGGATAATGGGTATAGAGGAGCACCTAGAGACAGAAGTTAATGGTCTAGGAAATTTGTTTAACAGGATCCTAGCAGAGAACTTCCCAAACATGCAAAAAGATAGGCCTATTCAGAAACAAGAAGCTTTTAGAACCTCAAATAGACCAGACCAGAACAGGGGTTCCCACTGTCACATTATAATCCGCACAGGATTAATTCAGACCAAGAAAAGGATCCTTAAAGCTGTCAAGGAGAAAAGGGTAATCACCTTCTTCAATTCATCCAAAGAATCTTACACTATGATCAAACAGGATTCATTTCAGGGATGCAAAGCTGGTTCAATATATCAATTAATATAATGCATCACCTAAACAAGAACAAGGATAAGAACCACATGGTTATCTCAATAGATGAAGAAAAAGCATTTGACAAGATCCAACAGTGATTCATGAAGAAGGATTTGGAAAAACTAGGAAGCCATGGATCATTCCTCAATACAATAAAGACTGTGTATGACAAACTTACAGCCAGCATTATACTTAATGTTGTAAAACTAAAGCCATTTCCTGTAAACTCAGGAACCAGACAAGGATGTCCACTCTCTCTACTTCTCTTCAATTTAGTATTAGAATGACTAACTGCAGCAATAAGACAAGATGCAAACAAAAGGGATCCAAATAGGGAAAGAAGAAGTAAAACTCTCCCTCTTTGCAGATGACATGATCTTGTATTTAAAGAATCCCGTGGACCTCATTTCCAAAGTTCTTGATGTAATTCAAAACTTTGGCAAAGTCGCAGGTTGTAAAATTAACCCTCAAAAATCAATGGCTTATCTGTATGCCAACAATGAGAGTATGGCTGAAATCAGGAAAGCCACTCCATTTGTAATAGCCCCACAAAAAATAAGATACCTAGCAATTAACTTAACCAAAGAAGTGAAGGACCTCTATAATGAAAACTTTAAAACCTTGAAAAAGGAAATCAAAACAGAACTTAGAAAATGACAAAAACTCCCATGCTCCTGGATTGGAAGGATCAACATTGTCCAAATGGCAATACTTCCCAAGGCTATTTACAAATTGAATGCAATATCTACCAATATTCCAACCTCATTCTTCAAAGAAATAGAAGATTCAACCCAAAACTTCATGTGGAACAATAAAAGAGCTTGAATAGCAAAAACGATCCTTCACAGAAAGAACAGTGCTGGAGGAATATCAATACCATATTTCAAACTCTACTACAAAGCCACAGTAATCAAAACAGCTTGGTCCTGGCACAAGAAGAGAACTCAGGACTAATGGAATAGAAATGAAGAACCAGAAATGAATCCACATATAGCCATCTAATCTTCGATAAGGGAGCTAAAAAAATAGAATGGAAGAAAGACAGCCTCTTCAGTAAATGGTGCTGGCAAAATTGGTTAATCACTTGTAGAAAACTAAAGCTAGATCCTTATTTATCACCCTGCACCAGAGTCAACTCCAAATGGATCAAAGATCTTGAAGTCAAAACAGACACCCTGACAACATTACAGGATAGAATAGAAGAAACCCTAGGTCTCCTTAGCACAGGCCGAAATTTTCTTCATAGAGACCCAGAAACACAACAAATCAAAGGAAGATTGGACAAATGGGATTGTATGAAATTGCAGAACTTCTGCATGGCAAAGGACATAGCTAGCAACACCAATAGAAAGCCCACGGACTCAGAGATGATCTTCACTAGCTGTACAATGGACAAGGGTCTCATATCTAAAATATAACTGGAACTCAAAAAATTAAATCCCCCAACAACAAATCCTCAAAGAAACAACTGCCCGATAAATAATTGGGCTAAACAATTACAGAGAAACTTTTCTGAATAGGAAATCTGAATGGCCAAATACACATGAAGAAATGCTCAACCTCTCTAGTCATAAAAGAAATGCATATCAAAGCAACATTGAGATACCACCTCACCCCAGTTAGAATGGTTAGAATCAAGAACTCTAATAACAACAGATGCTGGAGGGGATGTGGACAGAAGGGAACCTTACTGCATTGTTGGTGGGAGTGTAAACGTGTTCAATCACTTTGGAAAGTAGTATGGAGGTTCCTCAAAAGACTTCACATAGAGCTCCTCTATTACCCAGCAATCCCACTTTTGGGCATTTACCCAAATGATCACAAACAAGACCATTAGTAAGCTTCCTGGACAACTATATTTATTGCCGCATTATTTCCCATAGCTAAGATATGGAACCAACCCAGATGCCCTTATTAGATGAATGGATCAAGAAAATGTGGTATATATACACAATGGAATTCTATGCCTCCATCAGAAAGAATGACATTGCCCCATTTGTTAGGAAATGGAAAGACTTTGAAAAAATTATATTTAGTGAAGTAAGCCAGGCCCAAAGAAACATAGGTCCCATGGTTTCCCTTATTTGCAATAAGTAGTATATGTCTGAGACAAGCAGAAAAGGTCAGATAAGATGATGTTAGGCGAAATGAACTCCAAGATAGGACACAAGTGGGTTTTTCTTCCTTCCTATTGTTTCTAACCTATTTATAAGGTACTACGTGTTTTTTTTTTCTTTGTATGTCCCTCCCCCACAGTATAACTCCTGTTTCA